AAGAGTCAGGGTGGCTTCTGGGTAATACCAGATGGCTAGGCCTCGACTGACGAAGCCTCTTGGATGAGGGGCGAAACGTTTCTTTTTAACAAAAAAAACGAAGTCCAGATGACATGATTCAACCTTTTTTGTTGTTATATACCTGGATGACTGAGAAAACAAACTTTGTGAATTTATTTTAGCATTTTCTAACCTTAATTCTTTTTATGGTTCATGATTAAAGGAAATAAATAGGGTTTATTTGTTAGGCTGCTTAATTTGGAAGAATCAATGCAACATTAATTGAGCTAGATTTTATTAAAGGAATGTGTATTGCCTTTGAATATGACTCGCAGGTACTACCACACCCAATCTTAGCTTAACCATCTTTGTGTGTACTGAGGTCAATTAGTGGTGGTGGTCAACTTAAATCTGGATGACCCCCCCCCCCCCCCCCCACACACACACACACACCAAAAAAAAGAATCAGTTGTAGATGTACATCAAATGATTTGTCTTAATTTTGTATTAAAATGCTTCTATTAATTCACAAGATATTTTGCTAACCGACGCACTAGCTCCAACAGGCAATACAATTTTTTTAAACAAAGATCTTATATTTTCTGTTAGCCCTCAGTGCTTGTGTTGGGGATGACTCTCAGGTACTGCCACACCAAATCTTAGTTCAGTTTTTGTAAAAAGGGCGGTCATGGCCATTTTTGTGTTTGCTAATGTTGCTAATCTTGAATCGGGACGTCTTTAAAAAGTAATCAAATGGAGCTCTACTCTACAGTCAGTGATCACTTTTGGGAGTTTCTTTAAAGTTCATCCAGCGTTTTGATATATTTTGCTAAAACGACAAATGATCAACCAATTACATGATCGCCCACCTTTGCCTGAATATAATGAAATGATTGCTTAACTGCACAAACATGAGTTAAAAACAAAAAAATAAGGGCCTTAAACATGCATTCAAATGACATTGCACCTTTGTACCATCCGCATATGTCGATGCTTTGTATCGCATTTAATCTAATAAAAATACAAAAGCAGCATGGTTATCTGCTTATGGTAAAATAAACAAATTAAATGAGATCAACAGAGATACAAGTTTCTTTTGAAAAATATTTATTTTGTTTGATTACATTTTCATCTTGTGCAGAACATGGATTTGTTAGATCAAATGAACAAAGTTTATTGTAATGGTATTTATTTTGTGGAGGATCATGCTTTTTATAAAATGGGTAATATGGCTTTTTCTTTTGTTTGAACACTTGGCACAAACTCGTGACAGAACACTGGATTCATCCTGTAAAAGTTGAGATACATTGAGCTGTGGTAAATCCAGCTTTTTTCAAAATAAAAGTTGTGATGTCAACATACAACATACAAAAGCCTCTTTTTTTCTGCATTCCTCTTAATTCGATGGATCAGCTGGTCTCTCAACAAATTGATCAACTTCTCCCGACAGGAGTCAGGGTAAGGAGGACCCTCTTACCTTGACGGAAACAAATTGGATTCACGATGACAACTGGTTATTTTGCTGTTGGTGAATTCTGGATTGTATTCAAATTTGTGTGGATGTGTCGAATCTCGACAGCGCTCAGACTGAATTTGTGGAGCTGCAGCAGGGAGCTGGAGCAGGCTGTTATCAGGACTGCGGACTCTATAGCAGCACACATGAAGGGGAAATAATCTTGGAGAAGCTGTGAGCTCGACTTTTGGCGTAAAGAATTGATTCGGCTATTTTGGAGTTCCATCAGAGGAATACATACCAGCGAGACTTTAAAGGCAGAAACAACAATTCATGAGTTCTGCCTGACCCAAACTGTGGCCTTGACGCCGGACTTATCTCAACTCCTCCTGGAATGTTTTGAAAACAACAAAGATGCTTTGACTGTCTCCACACCCTTCCCTTCCCCAAGGCCGTGGACATGTGACAGAACCTCAACTGAGCTGATGATGAAAGTCACCTCTTATCTGGACAATGGCTGAGATGGGGGGCTCTGGACTATGCTACAACTTTCCCTTAAAAATTTCATGTTTTCACCGGCCTATATGTAAATGTATAACGTCTATTTATGTTGCTTTGCTGTGGTAGGTTTTTTTGATGCCTCAAATCGTGCCCTGTCTAGGACACGGCTTGAGAGATCTTTTTTTTTATACCGTCTCTCCTCATGTTTTCTTTCCTTTTCTCATCTAAGCAAAATATTATTCTGAATAAGAATAAGAGGGCCACGCTTTCTATAGTTGCAGCTTCGTGCACTCCGCCCATCTTTCGCACGACTGTACGTACATGTTCACGTTGTATCTCGGTGCAATGCCAATAAAGTTTATTCTGATTCTGCTACACGAGATAAATTAAATGTTCCCCCTTCCTTTGCTTCTTGTAGCCTAATATCTGGGATAAAGCACTCTGAGGATCTGTCCATCAGCCTTCTCCCGATCCAGCCACTTTCCACACTGGAAGATGGTTGTGACTGAGTTGGCCGTGTTTGTCACCTCCACGCACTGTAAGAACCACCCGCAGTTGAAACTGCTGCCGTCGTGCTCCACTTTGATTCTCAGCAGCTCCCCAAGGTCCAGCATCTCCAGAACGAAGCGGTCTGTCCGGCCCCGCTCGAAAAGGTTGCGAAACTTCTGCCTCAGCTGTCGCCTGCCCGAGTCACCGTTGACACCGTAGATGGTGATGAACACATTGGAGTCAGTTCCGGCGCTTTTGACGTCCCCGGTGATGACGATGATTTCGTATTTGACAGGGACCAGTTTGCGCACTTTGCTTGCGAAGCTCTCAACAGATTTATAGCACTCAAAGGTCAGGAACTGGTCCTTTTTGGCTGCCAGGGGGATTTGGGCATCACAGTGGAAGAAATACCTAAAACATGAAAAATTAGACTCATTCATGTGACGTTTGTTTACATGAGAAAATGAGAAGCAGCGTGAGACTCCACTCACTTGTTTCCCAGCTCCATCTCTGTCACCACCACCTCCAAAATGTGCCAAAAGACTTCCTTCTTCACCTTCTTTCCATCCTTTGTTATGTGGCCAAGGCAAATACCGGCAATTTCCCCCAAGTGCTTGGATGAGAACTCAAATGAGTCAGTGGCACCGCTGTGAAAGGTCAACATTTTTAAGGAATACGCCTCACTCCCCACCTTAGTGTCAAACTAAGATCATTTTATCTTCAGAAATAATGGCGTTGTAGTCATTTTGGTCAAACCTTTTAAAAAAACATGCAGTCTCATACAAAATTCCTCAATGTCTTGCATGATATGCTAGCACTTCGAGTATGTGTTATGACAGACTATCAGCTACAGACAGAAATGTAGCGCAGTATCTGAAAAACTGTCTTAGGAATAGTTTTTGTGTTTGTGTGTGTAGGTTAACGTTGCTTGTCTGTGGTGGCCATAACGATTCCTTTCATTTAATTAAAATCAATTCAGTGATTTTGGAGATATTTTGCTGACGGTACAAACAAAGCTAATCACACAGACATACGCAAAAACAAAACCCTTAGGCTTTTGGCTTCAGACAATGAATAGTATGAGCAGCAGTTTTTATGCATCCTGGGAAATTCTCTCATGAAAACAGAAATCTACAAGTCAAAACAGGTAGAAAGACCAAATGTGGAGAAGAGAATATATATAAAGGTTTAACTCAAACTAAGGCACCCTGTACTCCCTTTGAAGACATACCATAAAAACTTCTTTTTCTTATTCTCCAGAACGAACTCTTTGGAACGAGCTTTCCTTCCCTCCAACACGATCCAGGCGTTTTCTGTGGTGGAGGCGTCGTCTGTGTTCGCAGTCGTTGTGGCGATTTCGTATTCTGTGGGAAAACAGAGCCAGACAAAGCTGCACTGTGATCTCTTCCCATGTGGCAGGTCGTCAATCTTTGTTGATTACAGAGTTCGAACTCGGCAAACATCCATTTATACGAACTGGTTTTATCACTGAGGTCGATGGTGTCATTGTTGGCACAAGCCAGCTCCCTTATAATCTGCCTGTCGTCCTCATTTTTAGCCAACCAACGGTCGCAGGGGAACCTGAACGTCTGGTCCATGGCCTCGTCTTTCACTTCGATGTACTCCAAGTGCCAGCCAGGAGCTGGGCCTGTTCGCAACACGATAAACAAACTGCATGAGGGTTTAGGTTCTTCTCTTGTCTCCAAGAAGTTTTATTTTACTGTAACAGAATAATGTTTAAAACAAGAATGAGTATTTGATCCTTAATTCAAGATCGTGCAAACTTTTGTTCACAGCTTCTCATAGCATGATTGTTGAGTCAGCAAACAGACCAGCGCTTTCCTGGGTTTTGTTTTTTCATACATTTTTTTTTTTTTTTTGCAATTTATTTATTGTACTTCTGCATAAATTGTGGAATTTTAGCTATTATTTTATCAAAATCTTCATCTCATTCAGTAGATGTGACTTTGGTTTATTTAAGTGTTATGCTTTTCAAAATATTAAGTTTTATTTATAAATCTTAATGTTCTAAGTATTAGGTGATCTTTAGTCACTTTAGGTTTTAGCTAGCCTTTTGATACATTTAGCTAGTCTTTTGGTACTTTTAGCTATTAAATTTTGTTACTTTTGTCTTTAGCTAGCCTTTTGCTACTAGCAAACATTTTGTTAGCTGGCCTTTTGCTACTTCTAATTTTTAACTAGCCTTTGCTTTAGCCTTAGCTTCAAACTAGTTTTTTACTTTTGGTTTGTCGCTATACTTTTGTTTCATTTAGGTTTTAGCATGAAGTGCTTTGTTACTTTTAGACTTTAGAATAATCAGAAATATTTATAGAACAACTGGAACATGCTTTACTAAATGATGTCAACATGAACAAACCTAATTACCATATTAGAATAGAAATCAATGATTGAAAGTGTGATTTTTTTTTTAAATTTATGCACAAAAATCTGTTTATTTGATGTTTATTGTGGTCGTTTCCTCCTCACCTGTGTTGTCGTGCCACACTCGGACTTTGGACAGCTCTCCCAGACTGAGCATGTCAGGAAACCTAAACACGTCCTTCATTTTTCGCTCAAACTTGTTCCTGTTGGTGCTCTCCTTCAGAGCCATCGTCCCGGTGTCTCCGTACTCCCCGAACAGGATCAAAAACACGTTGGCATCAGTACCAGCACCTGGAAGATCACATGGACTGGACTAACCCAATCTGACACCAACAAACTCAGAAATATTCAGTTTTAAAGCCCTGCTCTTTGTCTCAAGGTAAATCTGACCCCATCACTCAAAGAAACTGCACAAAACCCACGTGACTCACCTCCAACATCGCTGGTCTGGACTTGGATGATGTAAGTTGTTTTCTCCACCATCTCCTCGTCGTCCACCACTGCCGGTAGCTCACACACCTTCGTCCTTTTGGGCCCTTTGGTCTTGGATAGCCAATTCTCGTAGGTGAACAGATACTCTTCCTCTGTGGTCAGGTTCCGCACGAGGATCTAAAATTCAGGATATTTAATGATGCAAATATATATTGTCATTGTTTTTTTAGATTAACATTATACATATAATGAGGGGTGGCACAGTGACGCAGTTGGTAGAGTTATTGCCTCTCTGTGAGAAGGATGCTGGATAAAATCCTGTTCGGAAACCATGACCCCCTGCGACCAGGAAAGGAAGAAGCATACAAGATAATGGTTGGATGGATGGATTATAGTAAGTGAAGAAGTAAGTGCTATGTGTTGTCATCATTGTATGTTCCCATACAATGGCAAACTTGTTTCTCAGCATTTACCCCATTGCACTTGGGATACATCCAGGTGGAGCCCTGGGTAGCTATGTGGGAATCCGGGGAGCAATTAGGGATTAGGTGTCTTGCTCAGAGACACCCCAACATATGGGAATGGCTGGGGATCGAGTCTGTGGCTTTTGGGTCCCGGGTCAGCTGCCCTCCCTCTGCCCCATCTCGGCCCCTTATATAGAAGGGATGAACAATTTGACATAGAATTAATGACTTTTCTGCTTGTATTTCAGAGTCAGAGTCAGAGAGTCAGAGTTTCTTTATTGTCATTCGCACCTCATGTGGTACATGTGGTGGAGCGAAATTATGTACACAGGGTCCCAGTTACATCCAACAATAAAATGTAAGAGAAAAACAGTAATAACATCTAAGATATGAACTAAGAAAAACATCAACTAAATATACACTAAGCACTCATAACATAAAACATTGAACATCAGCACAAACATGAACATGAGTCTGTGAGCAGATGTGCACGCATGAACACATCAACATTGAAACAGATCAGCAGCAACATGAAACAGATCAGCAGCAACATGATATGGTTTTTCACAGTGATTATTCTAGTTAGAGATTCATGAGTCTAACAGCCTCAGGGTAGAAGCTGTTCCTCAGTCTAGTGGTTCTACACTTAATGCTCCTTAACCTCCTTCCTGAGGGGAGTGGGGCAAAAAGTGTGTGTGCTGGGTGGGTGGGGTCCTTCATGATGCAGGT